GCCCTTCACAGATCAAGATCGCCACCATCATGGAAACGATCCAGCGCCACACAATGGCGGAGTGTGCCATGGCTTCCTTCTTAAATGGTCAGTACTACCAGTCCGTTTGTTGCACGGCCGCACTGGTCTACATGGGAGAGCAACTGCGCAGCCACGAGCGCCATCTGATGTGCGACATCTTTTTGGGTATCATCAATAAATTCATTATCGAGAAGATAGAATTGGAGAAGCAGTTGGAGGCTAAACGCCAGGCCCTACAGCAGATAAGCGAACCGACTGAGGAGCAAAAACAAGTTGTGGAGGCCGCCAAGGAGGGGATCAATATCCTGCTATGGCATTTAACGATGTACATCAGCGAAATGTTGGTCATCACAATTGAGGCACTAAACTATTTCACCACTGATGACCACGAGCCAAAAGTGTTCCTTTACCGCTTGATGGGCGAGTGCCTGGGGATCATGTGCCAATTGGTGAACACCGATGATGATGTGGTCAATACGGCGGCCTCCATTGCCTATGCCTTTGGGATGGTGTACGGCTTCCATCTACCACCGACCCACCCCTCCAACCTGGATAACATCATCTCCTATTGCATATTTTCGGTGCGCAATTTGCGGAACCTCGATGCGGCCATTGTTCTGGCCTCTTATGCCATATCCACCTGCACAGAGGAGTTGATCCTTGAGTCCACACACGTGCAGGCCACAAGACACCGCCTCCACTTACTTCAAATGTGTCTGGATGTGTGGACTACCATAAGGGAAACCATGAATAGCGACAGCAACACCAATGAAAATGCTGGTAAACAACTGATGAGACAATGGACAGAACTTGTTTGTTTCTGATTTGTGAGAAATATTTTTCAGCCTCTGAAGCCCCGAATGCAACTGCATAAGCCCATGGATCAGTATCACCCTTCATTCACTCGGGAATCTAGAAAGTAGCAGGACACAGCACACTCGCTCCTCCTACACACACAAACTATACACATTTTGAGTAAGTTTTCCAGTTATCTTTTTATGGAACCAGACGCCTATCATTCCCCTTTTCTTAGCAGCCTAAACCTAAAACACTACCAATGTTGCAAGAACTGAAGAACTCTTTTCCAATGCAAGTCATTTGAGAGTACAAAGAACACATAAGTGATAGAATTAAAAAGAGGACTACATATCAACCAAGGGACAACAATTATTAGCTCACTTCTCAGTATGATTGCCTAAAGCAGAAATCTACAAACATATAATCAAAGGATTATAATATAATCTTATACGCTCCTCACACGGAAAATACATAAACAACAAGTAGTTCCTAAAGGAAGAAAATTCCAACTAACTTTCAAGAAAATTAGTAGAACTCTGAACCTCTGTTATATGCGGAAGAACCGCCGGAATTCCAATTTGAAATGGGAATTTAATTGATACTTATGTTTTGTATACGCCTATCAAATATCATAGCTAGTAGCATTGAAATATAAGCGTTAAATTAGTTCATAAAAGAGAGAATGAGACCCCCATTCGGAAAGAATACAACTGAGTAGAACTCAGACCCTATTTTTTGTTTGTGCGGAAGAACCACTGAATAATAGTCGTTTATTTTAATGATAATCAACTTGGTTTGGAGATGGATTCATGGAGATTCTGGAATGAAATTAAATAATATATGTATAAAAAAGAAGAAAAAACGTATTGCCTGTAATCTAAGCATTCATTCACACTACAGTCGCTCTCACTCAGTCACTTACTCACGAGTACATAGGTTGCTTGAGGATATGATTCACGCTTCCATTGAGAACATTCCACTGCTGCTATCAACAGGGCCCTGTGTCGCCTCTAACCCCCCGTCCCAGACCTTATCAAGAGTGGGAGAGTGGCCTCAAAATAGCGGTGGGTTGTCGGCTCTTAAAATCAGCTCCCGGTTGTGCCCTGCTCCACTATGATTCGGTGAATATCAAAAAAGTTAAGAGAGTCTTTGGCAGGGGGCAAAAAGTATTCCATTAATCCGATCTATATTTATGTTTCCTTACAAATATATCTCAGAGATGAAAGGGGCGGTAGGGGTGGGGATTGCGGGGAACGGCTCCTCATGTCCTTTGTGAACGCTGTCCTCAACTATGGCCACTTGCGCTATGAATTTCTAATGCTGCCCACGAGAACGAGACGCTGGACAGGCATTTGGTGAGTCCCGAGTCGCAGGTGTTTGTCCCCAGAGTGTTTGTTTAATCGTTGCAATCGCTGCTTCACAGGACTTCTTTGAGATGGTGAGAGCCGAGGATGAGAAGGAATTCGCATGTCGCTTCAACGAAGAGCATGTGGTTCCATGTTCGAGTTGATGCGCAAGCTCAGCCACTCGCCAGCGTATCCACACATGTTGTCGCTGCTGCAGTATATGCTCCTGCTACCCTGTAAGTGTCACAGCCACTGGCATGGATCTGCAACTAATTTAATTTCTGTTTGCAGACACGGGCCACTGCACCGAGCATTGGCAGCTGATTGATCGCGTGGTCCAGCAGATTGTGCTGCAAGTGGCGCAACGACCCAGCAGCGACCTCATACCCGATCCCCTGGATGATCCCGGCCAGCAGCTGAAGCTGGCCAGCGAGTCGCCAGTCCATGATCCGGATGTGGCACCCCTGCAGATCGATGTGGGCAGGCCCTGACGCAGGCGCGCAAGCGGGCGGATGAGCTGGAGCGCGAAAACTTTGAGGTGCAG